TTAATCCGGATTAAGGGTCCTTGACCAAGGATTAAGGGACAAGAGACACTTAATCCGGATTAAGAGACACTTAATCCAGATTAAGGACCACTTAATTCAGATTTAGGACAACTTAATCCAGATTAAGGACTACTTAATCCAGATTAGGGACCACTTAATCCGGATTAAGCGACACTTAATCCGGATTAAAGACCACTTTATCCGGATTAAGGCTTAATCAGGTTTAAGGGTCCTTGAACCCGGATTGAGGGTCCTTGACCCTGGATTAAGGCTTAATCCGGATTAAGGGACATTTAATAGTAATACTAATTCCTATTTTTAAGTATTCAATCTCAATCTAAAATGGAGCATCTACATCTTTCTAACTTTCCATCAGTGAACCACATCCAAAAGTTCAGAATTCTAGCTCTTCCCCTTTGTCTACCCTTAATTCGGAATCAATGACCTTTAATTCGGGTTAAATGACGGCCTTTAATCCGGGGTCAATGACCCTAAATTTGGAGTAAGCTTTAATACGGGATTAAATGACCCTTAACCCGGATTAAGCCTTAATCCAGGGTCAACGGTCCACGTATAGGCATAACGGTACCCCCAATTTTCAATATTTTGACGTTTTCGACCAAATCCGCTCAAATTTGGTACATTGGGTTTTTTAAGACACTGTTGTTATCATTTCACCTGCGAGGATATCGAGATAAAAAAACTAGAACGTAAGGTTCGATAATGAACTATAACCCGCATTTAGGCCTAGCCCCTTTGTGGGAGGTACCAGGAGTGGACCGATTCCATATCTTCGAACTTGAACTAAATTTGGATGAAATCAAAATGTTCTAAAACGGATTTGGTCCAAAGAAACATGGGGTCTAAAAGCAATATTTCGATGGGAAACATTTTCACCGTGTCAAAGTGTATACACCCTCATTCTGGGAGGGGACCTACCTACATGGGACCCTTAGTGTTATCCGCGATACTCTGGAGGAACAGAGTAGGGATCTCTTCGACCAAATGGGCAGGCTTGAACCGGAGGAACTGCTACTAAATCTAACTCTGACTGATGATGAACTGAACACGACGGTGATTCCGGCGAAGTCTACAAAGGAGGATTGCAGTGGCACCAACGAAGGAAGTCTAGACACGATAGTCTGGAGGAATAAAATACGGAACTCTTTCACCAAATGGTCAGGCTTGTATCGGAGGAGCAGAGTGGGGAAACACTTCCGGAGGAACTGCTACTAAAATAACCTTGACTGATGATGAGCTGAACACCACGGTGATTCCGGCCAAGTCTACACAGGATGATTGCAGTGGCACCAACGAAGAAAGTCTAGACCCTATTGAACAACCGAGTGCAAGTCTGATTCCAACAGGTCCTGTGTCGTCACATGCCGACAATAAGCTCCAAAGGCAGACTGCGACTGAAGCAATGTCCGACGATGGGGTATCTATCGATACCCCAGCAACGAATGACGATTAAAAGGTCGGAACTGCCCGAGAAGCATCCGATGCGAAGCACTACAAACGTGCAGTGCAGAAAAGGCTGTTGAGTACACCCCGACACAAACTGTCATCCATAAGGGTGATCGACGTGTGAAGGGCTCTGTCTCAAAGACCGATTCTACGCCAACTGACAAAGGTGAATCGGTTGGTACTAAAGCTCTGAGTAGCCCCACAGTTGGTCGGAATAGAAAGAAGGTCAAGTCTGGTAAGAAGCCATCGTATTCTGGAAGATCGAATACTGAAAATGAAATACTTTACCACTTTTTGAGTACGTGAGCAAATCACATTGGAACATATTTACATAGAAATATATAAATAAATATTGATCAAGGTTTGAATAAATATAGTTGACGATTATTGAAATAAATGACAGATAGAGGACACACATTTTATAGATTACAACCAGTTAAAATGGATGATTGTTCCCTAAAAAAGAAGATGTAGGTCCACATTATGATAGGTCCACATTATGATAGGTCCACTTCTCCTAATGTCCAAAAAATTATTTTAAAATATCACGCTAACGGAATATCCAATTGCAACCGAAATCACCAAATCTACATTAAATTCGAGAATGGAGCAGCTTCTAAACATTAATCGAATAGGAAATCCTGTGGGGTCTAAACACTAGATTGTGTACGTGGTCCACCAAAGCCACTAATTTTTTTCAATTTACATGAAATAATGCAGAACGTATTCAATTCATTTGAGAATGATCTGCACTAAATTTCGTTAAAATTGGTTATGTAAATTATTCACTTAATTCCCAAGGTTTGTCCGATTTGGAATAAATTTTGTACACCTTCTTCCCATCGCATATAAAGTGTTATCCAGTGTGCTGTGTGAACAATTGAAGCCAATGGTCAATGACATTACTGGACCATACCAATGCGGCTTCAGACCTGGCAAATCCATCATTGATCAGATTTTCACTCCTGGAAAATACCCACGAAAAACACATCGATTTAATGGGTCGAACATTGCGATCGGTAACGGCCACCTTTGAACAAATTGGGAATGTCTGGCAGTTAACAGCGAGAAGACCAAGCTAATGGAATTAACGCGCAAGACGTCCAGTAGACTCGGACCAACTGTGGAACTTGAGAACTACAGCTTCGAGGTAGTTAAAGATTTGTTATACCTTGGTACAGCCATAAAAGGAATGATAACAGTTTTGAAATTCGGAGAAGGATTGTGATGGCCAACAGATGCTACTATGGTCTAAATAAGCAGTTTAGAAACAAGGCCCCCTCCCGCCAGACCAAACTCACAATTTACAAGACGCTGATGCTACCCGTGCTATTATATGGATCTGAAGCATGGGTACTTGCGCAAGCAGATGAGGCAGCTCTTCGGGTGTTTGAAAGAAAAATACTCCGAAAGATCTACGGGCCGATCTGCGTCGACGGTGAATATCGGCGTCGAATGAACCACGAGCTTTAAATTTATTCGCAATCGTATTGAACTACAACGACTACGATAGCTAGGCCATGTTGAGCGAATGAATGAGAATGGCCCAGCTGAATAGGCATATAAAAGCGAGCCTACTGATGGTTCCCGTAGAAGGGTAGAAAACATCTTGGAACGTGGTCTTTCAAATTGGAGGAGATGCGCACAAGACCAACTCACCTGGAAATCTTTTTTGAGCTCGTCTTATGGAACAACCGTTCTGTAACAAGCCAGCTAAGTAAGTATGTACTGTATTGAGCCATTCGTGCTTCTAAAGCATGACAAGAGATAAAAGATTTTAACATACAGTGAGCAGCAAAAGTCATGGTACCTCATACAAATCAAAAAATATTCAGTTATTCCTCAAAAAGTAATTCACAAAAATTAAAAAAAATTAAATTAAAGTAAAATTTAATTTAATTTTTTTTTTTTTTTTTTTTTGAAACAAAATATAAAACAATATCGACATAGTGTCAAGTCCATATTTTTGCACAGCATAGCAGTGTGTTTTGGATCATTGTCCTGTTGGAAGTAATAATTATCACGAATGTTGAGTTTTTCAGCACTTTGATTCAAATTATGTTTCAAAATATTCATGTAAAATGTTTTATTCATTATTTCCCCAATGAATACAAAATTGCCAACACCAGTTACTGACATGCATCCCCATACCATTACTCCACCACATCCGTGCTTGACTGTTTTCCGAGTATTTTTTGGATTGAGCTCTTTGCCTTTTTTCCACCACACCAAAGAGCGTCCATCCGCCCAAATATATTAAATTTCGATTCGTCCGAGAATATAACTTTTTCCCAGAACTCATTTGTCACTCATTTTGAACTGCTGATTTGGTTCTGTTTATCATTTTACCTATTTCGTAATAGGATTTTCCCATTTCATGGTTATTAATTATTATTTTTCGCTCTTCAATCGTTCGTTCTTTTCTAAGCATTTTAAAAAATACTTGCTTTCACTTGTTGCACTAAGCAAATGCTTTTGGAAATGTGGAAAGTACCGTTATTGTTTTAAAAGAGAATTTGACTAAACTCTAAATAGTTGCCACCTATTTTAATAAACGATTTTATCCCATAAATGATGTGTAATATCAGGTCTGACCAGAGGTACCATGACTTATGCCGTGCAAAAATTTGGAGTTGACAAGATCTCGATTTTTTTATGGTTTGTTGGAACAAATAAATGAAATATTACTATCCATAGTTGTAGTATAGGAGTGAATACATAAAATAAAAATAATTGTTTTAAATTTTGTAAATTATTTTTTGAGTAATTACTGAATATTTTTTTATTTGTATGGGGTACCATGACTTTTGCTGCTCACAGTATAAAGGCCGAATAAAAATAATTTTGAAGAAATACCATCTCGAAAATTGTCTGCAAACACAAAAACAACTAAATCTTGGCCTATGGCATATTATACCTTATGTGTTCCTAAAGTGCTGGACTTTTATCCGAAAAAATGCACTCCCTTCACCAACATGAACTCCAATCGTGGTATAAATGTCATATTTAAAATTTCTACAAATTTTGTAAATAAATAAAATATTCCAAATTATATAAAATATTTCCAAATTACAGATTAATTTGGCTTTCTGCAAAATTCTACAATTTTTTTTATTTCAATTTGTTTAAATAACAATTGTCAATTTCACATTTAGTTTTGAATGCGAGCGGTAATAGTTTATCATCTTTGCATAGCGACTTAAAATATTACTAGAAAAAATGTATGTATAAAAAACAGTCTTATATAGTTAATAATAACACAATTGTGCGTGTTTCGACGACTTCTATGAAGCCCTTCGATTGGTCCAAACAACAAATGAAATATTTAAACACTCTATTTCTTGCCAATATAAAAAGAAAACTAGTGAATTTTTCATTTGCATTTGTGTGTGTATCTTCATAATAGAGATTGAGAGAGAGAGAGAACAATGGACACATTCTACACCAATTTGTTCAGCACACCATGGTCATCATCCATAGGCCATATTGATCCATTGGGGCCAAAAGAAAATCTGTGTATGTTTGTTGTTCACTCACTTGCGTGGTGGCATACCACGAGGACCCAATACACCCTCTAATAGATTGGGCCCAGGTTGATTTTTCGGACGGGGTGCAGGTGTCAAAGATCTGGTGTGAGGAGTACCCTCCTCCTTCTTCTTCATGATGGAAGTGGCAGCACGGCGTTGACGAATCTTCTCCTCCATGCGGGATGGTACCATGAAACAATTTGATTCACGATAAATTGGTTTGCGACGATCATTCCAGGGGAATTCCCATTGAATGGGTTTGAAATCACGGCGCCAGGGACGACGTGGTGTAAACCAGAAATCAACGGTCCAATCCTCCAGGCCGTCATCATCGACATCACTAAAAAGAAAGAAATATTAACATGGGTTATATATTCCATAATCTTCTACTTACCCTCTAACATAGACTCGCACAAATCTCCGAGAGCTGCGGAAAAGTTTCAGGGCCTCATTAAATGTCAAATCCAAGGCGGGTGTATCATTGATTTGTGTAATCTCATCACCAATACGCATACCAGCCCGGCGAGCCAAACCCGTGGGAGTTACATTAATGATTGTCAACGGTTCGAATTGATCAACACCACCGGTTACCTCAATACCCCACAATTCATCGAAGAAACTCATAATGCGACGATCCGTTTCCACGGTATACGTCATCAGCAATTGATATTCGACATTATCAAATGCATCTGAGGTATACTTGGGAATCTTAGTCCGGGGATCTTTCATTCTGAAAGAAAATCATCCCAATTACTCACATCACTTATGTAACAATTATTCCAATTTTACGAACCTGTTTCAATAAAATTCCAAGGTAAACGGTAATTTATTGTAACACTAATGTGGAAGAAAGTCGTCAAAATGAGGATCACTGTGCACAAGTGATCACAACGCACTTGCAAGGATTGTAGAAGAAATACTCCTTAATATGCTGATAAAAAATCGCTGATCGTACGTCTGATCTGACCGTACAATAATTCGATTTGAAATCAATTAAACAATCGTTAGTCTACGCTGTTCGGTATTTATAGTCTTTATAGCAATTTGTTTCCGACATTACACTTCGTCACATTGTTCGGTGACGTTGTGATTTTTCGTACTTCCTCTTCGACAATGAGGTTTTATTTCATGGTCAAGAACAATCTTCGTTTGTTTTTATTTCTTAATTTCAACGTCATTGATTTTATTTTAATCGAGTGATTGATAAACTAAAAGAAATTGTCAAACAATTGCCGCTTGTTAGTAATTAACGCGATCGAAGGTGTTCGAAGTGAATTTGCAGTACTCATCTCTTGGTAGGCTAATTAATTGTTTATAACAAAATGTAAGTTCTAACCTCAAGAGTCCTTACTAATAATCAAATTGGTAGTTGAATATGTTGAATAAAAAACAAATTTCAATATTCAAATCATCAAATCATCAGCTTCAAGGAAATAAGAAAAATTGTACGAAATAGATTTTATGGTTCCGTACACAAGAGACGTAAGCAGAGGGGGCCAATGGTGCCCATATATATTACACTGTAATATATATTAGATATTAAATTACGAATGCTTGGAGCTACCGATATATGAAGGCTATACAAAAACCTGCATCGATATTTTGTTACAAAGCTAAATTCCAAAGCACTGTTTAAAATTATTGCGAGCTCGATCGTGATTTCATCAGACAGCCTAACATTGCTAAATCGACATAGTAACCACTCAGAATCCATAATATCAAATTAGAGCCAATCAGCTGAAAAAAACGAGCATAAAAACCCTAAAGTAGGGGAGACTGGGGCACCTTCGGCACTTTTTTTTAGAGCTCTTTATCTCAGTACATATTCAACATATATAACAACTTTATGGCTGATTTTTGTCCTCTGACACTTAATTATAAAAAATAGTACCAAAGAGATATAAAAAAAATAGTATTAGTTAAAAAAATTTACAGTTTTGTAGAAAAAGTCAAATTCGCCGAATGTGCCCCAACCCGGGGTAGCTTCGGCATTTGATGGGGCACATTCGGCACCATAGTCATAGCCGGGTAATTTTCATCGCTATCAGTCTGGTTGAAATTCTGATCCTCTAAAGGCTATATTTGGTTTTAATACGCCACACAATGTTTGAATTATAGGACTATATTTCTAGTTCGCACACACCATCAGAAATAAGGGTTTTCTATCGCATTTTCGTCAATACAAGCACGTTTGATCTTATATATGCAATTTCGAGCCATATTAAAGGATTAGTTTTAAACACAAACTCAAAAACATTATAAGGAAATAATATTGCACAATCTGTATATGGCCGAATGTGCCCCACTTTAAAATGCCGAATGTACCCCGAATGTACTTTTTATAGTTTTTTTTATTTTTTTCGATCAGTTTTGTAAAAACATTATATTTTTAAATATTTCTATAATAATACACATCGTAGTTAACCACTTTTTAATAATATAGTCTTAAAAATTTAAAGTGTTATACACGAAATACTTACGAAATGGAATTGAAATATTACAGAAACATCTATAAAAATACAAAAACCCATATATCTAAATAAGCTTATTAGCTAGAAATTTCAAACTTTGTGTCAGTTATTTATTTCGATATTCGATACCTATGTATCGAAACTAGTGATGTACGGTGAGAGCTTCATATCGAAAACGCGATTGCCGAAGGTGCCCCGATGCCGAAGGTGCCCCAGTCTCCCCTACTGTGAAAGTTTAGTAAATATTCATAATTTTGTACTCTATATGGATCGAAAATACTAAATTACAGTATCCATGTATAAGAGTAGATTTTCGAAGCTTTATCTAAAAAAATGCGAACTCCATCGTTTATTTTAACGACATAACTAAATTGACATATAATTTTATTATGATACAAAATTTATATTCATTATCCGCGGTCTCCGGTGAATATTTCGATTTACCAGATGCATAGCACCATAATACAATATGCCACAATATGCGTGTAGGGTATATCTAATCACTGCCAAAATAATAATGGTGATAGTCCTACAACATTGCGTAGATTTTAGATTTTTTATATCTGTAGGAAATAATCGATTCACATTGATTTCCAACAACGGAAATTGGCACGAGCAACGATCCCCACTACAGAAAATTAAAACGTAAGATAAAAAGAGAGAGAGATTATATATACTCACACATGTATCATGAGAAAGTCTATAAGATCGTCAAAGATCTCCCGACAAGACAACACCTATAAAAGGCGTTCTGTTCAATTGTTTTTAAGTACTCTATTTAATTTTCTTTTAACCTTTAAGGGACCCTCTGAAAGGTCTGTTTTCATACACGTCAAAAGATTTGTTTATACATTTAAATGTCCTTGAATGTATTTACAAATCTATTTTATCATAGAAGACCTTTAAAGTATATGCGGCCCATAGTAATTTTAAAAACAAATATTCTATGATTTTAAAATGCATTTTTTAGAGTATTTTAAAGCTGTAGAGGCCTTTAAAAATTATGCCTATAGCATATATAAAATATCTTTAAAAAAATTATCGGTCTTTTAATAATTTCCAGGGTGCCGGAAAATCTTTAAAATATTTCTAATCACAAAATATATTAACAGGGCCTTCTGCCTATAGAAGATCTCAGGATTTCAGGATTTTCTGCTAAGGGGACCCCCATTCTCGGTTTCAAAAAATTTAATTTTGTATTTTGATTTAATTCGAATCTGCACTAATTCAAGAATGTCTCTATGAATTTTCAAGTGAAAATTTCAACAACTCTTGAAGATATAGCCGATTTATTGTGGCAGCATCAAGTGACGGCAAGAGGGCTTCTCAAACTTTAAAAGTATTTTTCTCCAAACAGCGTTTTTGCGAATGACGGGTACGATAACTCAAAAACTAATAATCCGATTGATTCCAAATTTTGGGACGTTTGGGACGTGTATAGCTATCGTATGAACTAGGATAAATCCAATCGGCCAAGATCTTCCATATTTTTTAACTTGGCTGTGGTAAAAAAATTGGTGATTTTCCAAAAAATATTTTTTTCAAAGTTCCGCCATTTTGTCGATTTTTGAGCGAAGTCAATAATCCTAGAGAGCCAGACATGTACCCTTTCTAACACCGTTGGAATTTTCGTATTCCGATGTTCCAGCGAGGAGTTATTATGCCCGCCATCAAAAATAAGGACTTTTCTTTAATCCCATAAAACAATAACAAAAAAATTTGTAATTTCTTTTTCTTTTCCTTTAAATCTTCAAATATATATCAGAAAAGTTACAAACCTTAACAAGCTTTGGTATTGATTTACCTGCCCATTGAAAATCTTAAACATTTAAAATCGGGAATGGGGGGAGTTCCCTTAAATGATACCCAATATCAAGAAAATCCTTAATAAACATTACTAATGAAGTCTTTTAAGAGGTATTACAATTCCTAGAAGACCGTTAAAACATCATCTATCTATAGAAAACCTTTAAAATGACTTCGTTCCAGAGACGAAATTCATAAGTTATTCTGTCCATGAAATTCCATTATATGTCATTCAAAAGACATTCTTCTCCCGTCCTAACAACTGAACAAAGTTATTTACAATAGTTGCATGTTTGACATAGTTTGTCTGTCCATTTTGTCTTCCATAAACTATAGGCCTTTATCCAATAAAATATATTTAAGGACAAATAAAATAAAATGTTTTATATTTTACGTCTCCTCCAAACAAGTGAATTCGATCTAACCAAAATGTTTTTATCCCCCACTTAAGAAATCGAAAAAGTAGGGGTTAAGACTTATAGCTCAACCATGGCAAGATTCTGACTAAACTATAAATTAATGTGGGGTCTACCTCAAATATACACAAAAAAATATACACCTCATTAATCCCCCACTTTTAAAAAAAAATATCTGATTCTGCAATAACCTGTAAAGATTCCATATTCTGTCATTATCCTTCATATGGACTATATCAGCCTTATTCTGGATGTCAATTCCATGTGAATTTACTCGCTCTTTCCCTTCGCCTTATTCTGAACAACATTTTCCAGTGAATTTTTTCGCATTCTCGCTTTCGCCTTATTCTGAATGAAGTTCGAAAGCGAAAAAATCCGCTTTGGGGAAAAATTAGGTATTCTGAATTACAGGGAGTAGGAAATTTTGTGCGAAAATTTTCGCTAATAAATTTAAGGGGAGTTGACTACAAAAACATAAGTAATAACTATTTTTATGAAAAATATTTACACAATACTTATTCTATGACGATTTAGAATATTATAAATGATAGTAAGCAAATTTTTAACTGGAAAACAACCAATAAAATGCCATTGGAAATCCTATTGATAACGATGCATGCTGAAGCAAGTATTGCCAAGAAATGTATAAAGGTAATAAGGAATATTTAAGTCGAGTTTGATTTTTAGAGGCGAAATACAGACATTTTGGGTGAGGATCTGTCTCTCAAGAAAAAATTTTAAAAATTATGGAAAACCCAAATTTGCCTGATTAGCCGCTTAACAGTGAAAAACTTAAATAAAAATTATGAAAGAACAAAAAAATTTTTTTTTTTTAAATTATCGTGTGCATGATTTGATGGAAGAAATAAAGGAGTAGGAGCAAATCATAAAATAACAGGCCATTTTAAGAATCTGTGAAATAAATATCGAAATTAAATAAAAAGGCACACAATTAGGTAGTGAAATAATAAACTGAATTAATTAATTCAATCGCAGATTTCTTTCCATTATTCGTTGTTGTATTCTCAGTTGTAGTTGTTGCATCAAATTGCATCAAAACAATGAACAGCTGTTTCACATGCCATATTGTAGGTTGCCATATTTTTAAACTTTAATTTATTATCTTTTAATTACAAAGCATTTATACAGCAGATTATTGATATTTCACATTTTTATTGTTATATAGTTTAAATAACAATAAAAAGTAAACATTTTTAATAAAAAAATCAAGAAAATGAAATATTGAAAAATATTACACAATTAAATTACAATGGGGCAACACACATTGCAACTTAAATTACAATATGGCCACACACATTACAACTTAAATTACAATATGGCAACACAAATCTATTTTTCAACCACCATTTTCGAAAACTCGAATCAGCATCTCGCATTTTTTGCGTCTCCCTATTCATTCAGAATAAGGCGAGAATGTGAAAGCGAAAAATTTTTTATATGCGAGATATCTCCCAGCGAATATCCAGAATAAGGCTGTATGTCTACAATATTGCAATACAACAATAAAACAAATCGTTTCATTTTTTTGTGTTTTTAAATAAACTTTAGTTTTGTCTTATTGTGTGTGTTTTTTAAATTCCTTGTTTACGATGGAAATAATGAAATGCAACTCTTTCGTTTGTTACTCTTTTTCAACACATTAATATACGCTTTGAAGTTTCTCGACGACAGAAACAATTATAATATAATATACAACTAAATAATATTTATAGGAAGGAATTTTTAACAAAATTGGAGACTGCATACGACTGTAGATTTTTTTACCATATTGTTGTTTCTATTCATTGTTTCATTAAGGCATAAATAAATTGTTGTTGCTGTTGTTCTTGATGTTTGTTTTGAAAAGAAGCTCCAAATGATTATTATTTTTATTGTAATTATATGACGTTTTATTCTATTACGTTGTCTAGAGAGAGTTTTGTGTTTTTGTGGCATTTGTTAGCTTTCAATGGATCAAGTCTTCTAATTGTTTGGTTTTGGTTAACAAAATAAAACCAGACATTATTCACGATGTAATAAAACAAAAATGGCTAAGATTGATAAAATTGCCCACTGTAAGAGAAGAAACAAAAGGGAAATTAATATTGAAATTTGTAATTAGGAAATTAATTTCGACATACCTTGACTTTAGGATATTCGTTCATAAATATCGTAATGATGCCAACATACGGCAAGAACCCTCTAGCCCGGCCAACAATATCCTTTTTCGTTAGCCACAATTGTCCGGGAGCGTATAAACCTCTGTCATCGACATTGTTGTTATCGCCCTTTGTCAAGAATTTAACGGAGCCATCTTCCCTGTAATCGAAGCGTTAAAATATTGAATTATTTTCGTTAAAAGAGGTAATCGTTTTTTAACATACTTTTCATGCAACTTAATAACACGATGTACAATGGGAATGTCTCGTCCCTCCACTTTGAAGACAACAATTTCACCTACACGAACGGGTTCTTCCTTATAGTTGGTAAGGAATAAGAGATCACCTCTGTGGAATGCTGGTTCCATACTACCACTCAATACAACAACAATGGGACTTTCGCTGCCTGTCACCACCATCAGACCCTTCCAGATCATAAGGGCGGAGGAGACAATCATAGCAAAGCTAAGAAATTGGTACAAGGACTAAAAAAGAGTACAAACATATTTATCTTGAGTATCCATTGTAAATTCATTAGGACCAAAAAGACACGTATAACCGCAAACAGAACAACCAGCCAGCCAACCAAGTTAAAGCTCTT